GAACACACAACTACAACACCCCCCGAGCTGACTAGCTCAAGTCATCCTATTGCTGACCTGAACTAATGGTTCTTTGATAGGTAGCCAATGTCATCTCACTCGATTCCCTGTCCATTTACACCATACTCATTGAAATATGTTAAATACCGCTCTCTTATCCTTTGCTTCAAGTGCAATCGAATAAATTTTGGGTTACACAGCCGAAAAGCATCAGAGTCAACACTGACGTTGTTGCCTCTTGTCGTTCTTTGCTGTTCAGTACTACGTCAAGCACACAACAAGACGTGATATTCGGCAGTACGAATCGTAATCTGTCAACGATTGAAGTGACACAAGTAGGTACACAGTATGCATCTTTCCATTACCATAGATTCAATAAAATAGGAATACCTGTAAAAGGTTAATCCGTATTTCAGAAAGGGGCCAACGAGTTTGGTCACCTTGATTTTCAGGGAGACCAATGGGCCTAAGAGACGATATCCCGGTATGTATAAGTTCGAGTTGTAGCGCAGATCCCCTTATAGTGCACATGAGCAAACTGCTTTTTTGCATGTTCCATGTCAAAATTTGACCAATAACGTAGAGTTAACTCGAGGAGCCCACGGTCATACAGGTAATTTCCTTTTTCTTTAAATTATGTATAATATAATCACTTTCGACATGGCCCGTAGTGGCTCTGCGTCGGAAACACCTGCTAATTAGAGGATACTAAACCTGAGTTGCAGTCTCATTTACAGTAAAACGGTAAGCTCGACGCCGAACTTTTCGAGCATGGTCACCAATTAAAGGATCACATCTGCTGACTCGTGTTTCTAAAGAGCAGTAGAAAAGTAAAGTAGGCTACAGAAGACGCCTCTTTTAAAGAATAAAACGCAATATGGACAGAAAAAGTCTACCCTCACTTACGATTACATCCAAGGTCATGGACGGTAAGAAATACCGGCTTCAGTGGAGCTAGGGTACCCTGAAATAAACAGAATCAAACTTATTAGCACACATCAAGAGGGGTTGACAAAGGAGTTGGTTAGTTGAGACACACGCCATATGGGTTGACTACGCAACGCACAACTACCAACCCATCGTCACACCCCACTATGCCCCCAAAAACGCACTGATGATGTCACCTCGATTGGTGATGAAACGTTTGCAATCCAGTTGCCCAGCTCAGCGAACAAGCCAACGACCATTGCATTTATTTGCACGCAGCTGTAAACGAAATTTCTTCGTCCGAGTCAGGCAGTATCACGTGTTAGTTTTGGTTCATTAATGACTAATTACAAGAAAGCCAGTCCTCTAAACAAAATCCTATAGAAAAGTAGGTCACCGGTTTTCATCATTGCGGTTTCCATACAGCCTTATTGCAAATTACGCCTTGATCCTTCTTGATTTCTGTGGTTTTATGTGAATACTTTGAAATCATGCAGGAAGCGTGTACTTTCCACTTTTGGTCTTCGAAATTCAACAACGTTACTTCGCGCGGTGGACTACGAGACCAAGCTAACAGGTTTAGTGAACGATCATTAATGGAGACTTCACAGCGTCCAAAGTTACACCCAAACCTCAACCATCATTTTTGAGTAAATTGCTTTTTCTTTCAGTCACGGTTAGCCAGCAAGCAGTGCAACCAAATTACTGTGAAAATGACCGGTTCCTTAACAGTGTCCGAGTCCTAAACAGAGTAGGCTGGTTTCTGTTTAGAAAACGCTCATCAGCATGGGTACCACAAGGGCGCAGATTCATTCTTGGTTGCTCCATGTGGATTTGTTGTCCGAGTAACAGTTTCTCAGAAAAAACCCACATGTAGTATATTCACGTCAAAGGTTAACTCTATGCAGACAGGTCTGATGTTTCAACATTATCCTGAAGAATCTGGTCGTTTACGCTGCTTGTCAATTAGATATAGCTAGACTCCATCACTTCTTGGAAAGTTTGGATCCCGAAAAAAATTCTCTACTGATCAGTTACAAAACCTTCGTGGCAACTGCAAATCCTCTCGTGGCATTCTACATATGTTGGAATATTCATGTTCTTCCCAACTGGCGTTTCCAAAAATTTTCGCCACGTAGATTAGGCGGGACCTCATTAGTTAAACACAATGGACCTTCAAGCATAACTGTTCAAGTGCAGTTCAGGACTTTAAGATAAGAAAAATCTTCTAGAAATCCATCATGTAAAATGCTTTTTGTTTTGTCAGTAAATCCGATGAGTGCGTCGTAAATTACTGCTCTCGATCTCAGCAAGCGTTCTGCCAAATTTCTACGCTTTTTTGCAATAAGACCAAGACAAAACTTATGCTCCATTCCAGTCATAAAGCCACATACGCAAAATGGGGGGACTAAAATGTGACAAGAGCAAAACAACCGTTGTTGGGTCATAAAGATCCTCTTAATACTCTGAGTTACATGCGCTTTGAAATTCGCCATGACTATCTCAAAAAAGCACTCCAGCTGGATGTAATCAAAAGAAACGGAAAAGTTTAGAAGTTTTGACAACAAACTAATATAAAAGGGATTAATCACGGATTCCTCAGTCACAAAAAAGCATCCACCAGCTGGAAGACGAACAGCCCAGTAGCTGAAAAAGATCACGCAGCTAATTTCGAGAGAAAAATCATTAACAAATAAATATGCTTGTCACGGGATATTCAAGGAAGCCCCAACAAAGGCAAAAACTGTCGTGGGCAGTCGAAGAGTTTTCACCATGACGCGGCATGTGTGCAGCACATTCATCTCGACCACAT